TATCTTGCTACTTTTTAATTGTATCCATTTGAAATAATTTGTCACGTATATTTCACATTGTGTGTGTGTGTATGTGTGTGTTTCACCAGTAATTGAAGCGACCATATGTAAATGCATTTTCAGGGTGTGTTGTTATGGGAAAAGGGGATAAGCCAAGAAATGAAGGAGAAAGCAGTGGAGCATTTGATGGCAGCAGCAAAGCTCAACCCTCAAAATGCTGCTGCATTCAGATATTTGGGCCATTATTATGCTCGTCTCTCGCCCGAGCCTCAACGGGCTCTTAAGTGCTATCAGCGGGCCCTTGCGCTCGATCCTGATGACTCGGAAGCTGGGGTACTCAGTTATCTGATTATATGTGTTTGGTTGAGGTTTATGAGAAATGCAATTTATGTTGGTCTGATTCTTTTAGAATATTGTACTAAATGCTTGGTGGATTAAAGACTACGAATCCCCGATTCTTGGTAGGGAACATAAGTAGAAATTTGTCGTGCCAAGTTATGAAGTGTTCAAACCATAGTGATATCACAAAAATTAAAGACGCGCTTGAGGTAGCATAGAATTGATGCTGAATGAGACTACATTTGAAATGATTAGTTAGTTTTGGGTAGCTATATTACAGCTGCGTGCAGATTGTATTTGCTACAGATAGTTTCCCATGTTAATAATAAGCTTTCGAGTCTCTTACTTACGTGGGTTAAATATCCGAGATGCCGCTATGAGAAATTAAGATACAGGACTTCGCTATATTGAAGGTAGACACATGAGATTTCCATATCTGTACGTGCAAAAACAGAGGAAGTTTATGAAATTATGACGTACTGAAGATTTGAAAGTTCTTGTAAAGTTAAGTGCAAATCTTCCATTTGCAGGAAGCAATCTGTGATTTATTGGATGAGGGCGGAAAAGAGAGCTTGATATTTTCTGTCTGCCGCGAAGCTTCTGAAAAATCTGCCAGGGCTTTTTGGGCTTTTCGTCGATTGGGATACCTTCAGGTTTTACACTCTTCTATCTCTCATCATTTGTTGCGATTATCCCATTTTCCGCAGGTTGACTGGTTACATTTCTGCAGGTTCATCAAAAGAAATGGTCTGAAGCCATACAAAGCCTTCAGCATGCGATTCGTGGGTTTCCTACTTGTTTTGATTTGTGGGAGGTTCTTAATCATCAATATTTTCTCCTTTACTTGTTTTTGTTTTTTTTTAAACGGATTGATAGTCAACTTCGTGTTTTACATGTACTTATGCAGGCTTTAGGTCTTGCCTACCAACGAATGGGCATGTTTACTGCTGCACTCAAGGTGACTCTCTCTCTCTCTCTTAGTGAGTGGATTAATTGAATCCATTTACTGAGAGAGGATTGCCCATGTAGTTGCATCACATGTTATTAGTAATCAAATTATTCAAAGAAATCATATGCGTATCTACATGTACCTGGCCTATTAAGATTTCCTTTTTCCATATTCCTTTTCAAAATGGAAATTGCTTCCTACATTTAACAGTGTATTAGGTTACTGATTGAAGTTGAATGGTTAATGGTGGTTAGTACTTTTGTGATGTAACAATGTCATTATCAATAAATGTAAACTGAAGTGTCCATAAATGTAAAATGAAGTATTCTGGTCTTATACTTGGATAAAGCGCGTGGTTTATTGTGCTTCTTTGCTCATTACATTTATTTTTCCTAACAGTCTTATGGGAGAGCTGTTGAGTTGGACGATTCAAGAATTTTTGCATTGATTGAAAGCGGAAATATTTCTTTGATGCTTGGCTCATTTCGAAAGGTAAGTAGTTGTGCGTTCAACCTTTATTTCAACTGGCCGGTACCTTAATCCCTTAATCCGCATGTGGTGCTTTTGTTAACTTATTTAGTTATGAGTGCATCCAGGGATATAAGTTTATTTGCCAAAAATGGTGTAGGATAACGGTTATACATTTAGGTTTTACAAATTAAATACACTGCATATAAAATTAAATGATATTCGTTGTTTCAGCGAGGCGACGTGCTCTGTCATCATAATTTTTATAAATGTCTGAAATTGAATGTAAATGCCTCTTATGCATCTTTAGGAAACTCACAGGCAATACCGGTTGAGCATTATTAATGTCATTTTTGTTATGATTTTTTTTTTATTTTTTTATTTTTTTATTTTTTTATTGTGTGTGTGAACACTAAGCTGTGCAATGGGCAGGCTTTTCATTTTGGGGGACAAAAAAGTTTTAAGGCCTTTAATATTTATGTTGAATAAGCGGTTTGATGTATCTATTTTTGTTCTGTGTGTGTAATGGATAAACTCTGGTAGGGATGTAGAGCTTTGAGAAAAGTAATTCAGATTTATTTTTCATTACAAAATAGAGCACTTGACCGTCAGCTACTAAAAACAATGAGATCAAGGAATCAAGAAAATGCAAGCATTCCAGAATATAATGGAAAGAGGCTAGGTGATCCAACAGTTTATATCAACTGGATAACCTGTAATCATCACTAAACCATATACTAAATACTTCAGATACATAGGCCTCTCTATTCACATGAATCGATTTTGATACGCCTTCACAGTGACACTCTCTGTGTAATATGGGACAAATGCAGTATAATAGTCAAATTTTCCTTCTTTACTATAGAAATTGTCATTTGGTTGCCTTCTGCTGCTGGGCATACCTAATTTGATTCCTTAATCCATTTGTCTCTTCACCCATGCTCTGTTCAATTTTAAGTTGAGGAGTTGATCAGAAGAGGAATGATAGTTGAAGTGTACTCATTGAATGGAAAAACTTCTTCCAGTTACTATCAGCATGATTAGAATTACTTTCACTTGATCAAAAGTAGAATCCGAACAATTTAATAATTAATAGGATTACCTTTCCAGGGATGTGATTTTAGCTGGAGGCCTTTTGAATGATCAATGCCTATACAAACTTCCTGTTCAAGTACTTTCATATCTTTTGGATCTGATTGCCCCAAATTTATGAAGGATCGTTTTATTTTCAGTTATTACTGTTCTTAAGCTTTTCTCTTTTTGTTTTTTCCCAATTGAAGGGAATCGAGCAGTTTCAACAGGCTTTAACAATCTCACCTAACAACGTAGCATCACTTTACGGGTTTGCTTCTGCACTTCTTGGCTTGGCTAAGGAATGTGTCGGCTCAGGCGCCTCTAGATGGGGAGCCTCACTCTTGGAGGTTGGTCTTTTAAAGTGAAGTATTTTTATTTTTTAATGATTACCACTTTTTACTCTGAAATAAAAATCAAGGTCAATACAGGAAGCATCTGAGGTTGCCCTGCGTGGTACATCTTTAGCTGGCACCTTTTCATGCTTCTGGAAGCTACATGGAGATATTCAGGTATAAAATCATCCTATACTTAGTTACACAATCTTTCTCCTCCCTAATTTTCTCGTATAATACTCCTTCCGTCCCACAAAGATAGGTCACGTTTCTATTTCGAGCGTCTCACAAAGGTTATTGTGCTTAGTATGTAACAAAGTTTTATTGTCCATGTGTTTCCTCTTTAATTATTTTGTATTAGCTCCACTTTATTTACGTAAATTAACCTTTATCGAAACCAAGTGGGCAAAATATAAGCATAGTTTGGCAGAGGGACAGAGATTTCACAATGCTACATTTTTGTGTTACTATTTAACACTTTCTTAATCTGTGTAAAATATTATAGGTTTATCTTTGTAGTGGAGGAGTATTTATGGCTTTTATTTTTTAGATGGGTTTTGTTCTGTTTTTCTTTCAGCTTTTATATGCAACATGTTACCCATGGACGGAGAATGAAAAGTCTTTCCACTCTTCCATCATTACTTGGAGAAAGACCTGCTTTCTTGCTGCTAAAAATGCCCTTCGCTCCTATCAGCGTACTCTACACTTGACCCCCTGGCAGGCAAATTTATACACAGATATTGCTATAGCATCAAATCTCTGTTTGTCATATGAGGAATCTCGTAAAGAGGATTCAATTGTTTGGTAATATTTGTTTCTTGAGAAATGGATTCATCTTTTGGTATTGTCATATTGTCTTACGCCACTATTAAATACCAGGTCTTTAGCTGAGAAGATGTGCGTGGGTGGTTTATTGCTTGAGGGCTATAATGATGAGTTTTGGGTGGCATTGGGTTGTTTGTCAAACCATGAGCCATTAAAACAACATGCTTTAATACGTGGGCTACAGTTGGATGTATCTCTAGCTGTTGCATGGGCATACTTAGGGAAGGTAAATCACTAATCAATGTACGAAATGTTAGCTTGATTGGTAAATTTTTGAAAAAATAGCTGAAACTTCACAATTGAAAATAAAAAAAAAAATTTAAACATAAGCCCTTTTTTCTTCATTTATGTTTGTTCCAGATAACCCTGTTTATAGAACTGATTTATCTCTTGTACACTTTTGTACTTTTCATAAAACTGTTCCGGTGACTTGTACAACAACTTTTCATCTCTACTTTCTTTCCTTTTGTTCTCTATCTGTGCCTTAAACTCTTCATTCCTGGTTAAGGGTCTAAATATTGGGTTCTACAGCTTTATAGGTGTGAGGGTGAAAAGCAATTGGCCCAGCAAGCATTTGATCGTGCCAGAAGTATAGAACCTTCACTTGCATTACCATGGGCAGGCATGTCAGCTGATGCCGATACTAGGTGATTATGTACACTTGAATCTTGATTATAATAATTATCATCAAAGTATGCTTCTCGTGAAATTTAACTTATGTTTTCTTTATATTTTCAGAAACCTTGACCAGGACGAAGCATATGAGTGTTGTTTAAGGGCTACTCAGATATTCCCGGTATGATGTGTTCTACTCATGCAATGTTAGTGTGGTGGTTGGATATTAAAATTTTAATTTTGAGCATTTCCATCTCAGTAGAGAAGTTCTCTTAAAAAGTTACGCTATTTACTCATATTACTTTTTTCCCTCAATTTTATCAATACAGTTTTTAAAATAAAAATCAACCATTCCTAAATTTGTATAAAAAATTATATTACTATTTTCACTCCTCAATTTTATCAATACAATTTTTAAAATAAAAATCAATCATTTCTAAATTTGTATAAAACTTACTATTCATTCACTGACATATTTTTAACTACCACTCGTTTTATTTCCTTTTACTTTAAATCTCACCATTACATTTCCATCTTACATTCACTCACACTTTTCAAATTGTTCATTTTCTATCTTAATTTTTTTCCCAACTCTTTTTAGTAAAAAGAGAACTTCGACGAGAACATATTCAATCGCACCCATCTATGTGGTTTCCTGTAGAAGCGAGATACCATTTGATAATAAAATCTTAACCTTAAATTAGGGGCATATATTATTGTATCATTATATCGTTACTATGATGATATTTTGTTGGATGGTATTCTTATGTGATTATTAAGCATGTCCGTAATTTCTCTCATAGACGTTATTCTGATTAGCTTGCAGATTTTCAAGTTGGTCTTGCGAAGCTTGCATTTCATTCTTCTTACTTATCATCTTCAGAGGTACAAAGCAATAAAACTTTTACAAAATCACACTTTTGACAGCAGATTTTTTTTTGGAAAGCTTGAGAAAGTATAAATGGCTTCATTTTATATTTTCTAATGAACGCTGTAGGTTTTTGGGGCCATTCAACAGGCATTGCTGCGTGTGCCTCATTATCCTGAATCCCACAATTTGAATGGGCTAATCTGTGAATCAAGATCTGATTACCAAAGTGCTATTACATCCTACAGGCTGGCTAGGTGTGCTCTGATATCTTTTTCAGGAGAATTATCAGAATTGCACCTAAAAGATATATCTATCAATATGGCCAGATCACTTTGCATGGTAATATTTTGTGATATTCTTATTGGTTTCAGAATGCTCTTTTCTGGGCACGGTCCTCTGTTCATCATCACTTTCTTTTTCCTATTGTTTTTTTGGGTGGTTTAGGCAGGACATGCACAGGATGCAGTTGAAGAGTGCAAATATTTAAGGCAAAAAGGTGTGAGTTATGGCTGGAATTATTTGCTTGCTATTCTATCTTATATGCTTNNNNTTGTGATTATATCTTGTCTGATTACTGTAGGAGGTGTTACATGATTTTAGAAGTTAAGGGTGTGTTTGTTTATAAATTTATCCAATTCATACTCAAAATCTAACTCAACTTTAACCCAACCCCACTATCTTCAATGTAATTAATATAATTAAATAATACCAACCAATAATTCTTCTACATCACTTCAATTTTAATTTATTATTCATCAACTCACATAATTTTAACTAACCATCACTTCACATCATCTCTCTCCTACTTTTACATCAAATCAACTTTAATATTTTATTTTAAATATTATTTTAATATAACCTCAAAATCCCGCTAACTAACCATACCAACTTTTTTAAAATTTAACTCTGATTAACCAAAAAATCTGATTTTGAGTGGATTTATTTGTATACAAGCACGTCCTAATTCTTGATTATTGTGGCAATAACGAGTTAAATTCCAAAAATTGAAAAAAGCAACTATTGCTATAATTTGGTAGTGAATACATTCTTCAGTTGATGTCCATCCTGCCTTGATTTTGTAGGACAGCTCGATCCTGATGGTCTGCATATATATGCTTTATCTTTGTGGCAACTCGGCAAGAATGATGAAGCACTCTCTGCCACGAGATTACTTGCTTCGAACATTCAATCCATGGAAAAAAATCACGTTCCTGCTTCCATTAGCTTCATCTGTAGGCTGCTTTACCACATCTCAGGACATGAATCAGTCATTGCAAGCATTTTGAAAATGCCCAAGGAATTTTTTCACAGCTCGAAGATCAGTTTCGTTCTTTCCGCTATTCACGTCCTGGACCAAAAAAACCAACTTGAGCATATTGTGTCTATCAGTCGTTCTTTCGTTACATCTCATGAAGATATCATAGCCATGCACGTTTTAATAACATTTGGCAAACTTGTAAGTTTTGCATTACGATGGTTTTGTATAAATGCTTGTTCACTTCTGTAAAAATGCTATGCAACATTCATGCATTTTGGGCTCTTTTTCAGCTGAAGAATGGGAGTAAGGACTCACTTGGAATTCAGAATGGAGTTCAACACCTTAGAAAAGCACTTCACATGTACCCTACAAGTAGTACGCTGAGGTACATTACATTCTTTTTTTTAATCTGTGTACATGAGTGAAAATATATTCTGTTTCTTCAGTTTGTTCTTTTATATCTTATAATTTGGTTTATTGGGCATGCAGGTTTTTTACCTTCTTATCTCTTTCCCCATTGTCTTACCTCAAGTGTAAATCTGCGAATATTATTTCTCTTCTTCAACTACAGAATTAAGGGTTATGAACATTTTATTATCTATCTGACTCTGTGTGCCAAGCTGCGAGCTTCTAGTTTACTGTCTTGAGTGGTCTAGACAATATTCTTTTGGCTGATGTAGACTACCATTTGTTATTCACTTTTTCTTGATTGGCATACCCTTGATGCTAATTGTTGTTGTTTCTTCTTCTTCTTCTTTTTTTTTTTTTTTAAACCTGGG